TCGCATACTATTGATATTATCTAATTTATTTAGAGTATCAATATCTTCATAATCCGCATCCAAGGTTTCAATAATATAGCCGTTTCCCGCATCATCTAAGTATATTGGTTAGCCATTTTCGCTTTTCAAGTCTTTTAACATATACGACAGATGATTCTTCTTCTTCCAACAGCTGTTGTAATTACACGCTGAGTCAAGCCATATGGAATGTTTTCGTCTTCCCATTTGTAACGATGCACCCCGTGCACCCCTTTAGGTGCATCGTTTTACCCGGCATGCGATCCGCCGGAAGCTGCCGCCCGGCAGAACATCCGCCGGGCATAGGCAGGGGCGCGGTGCGTCTACATTTTTTTAAACGATTCTAATGGAGGATTCACACTGTCTCCGATGGTACGATGACTGATCGGTCCGACTGATCGTACGTATTAAAGCAGTTCAAATTGTACACGATTAGCAGTTCCATGTGGTCTTGTAAACTAAAAAATACCTAGTGTAAATAACTAGATAAAAGCAGTGAATTGTCGCGATGGGTTAGTTTTGCTCTGTCGATCGCAGTGTCGCAGCTTTTATTGTTAGCAAAAAATAAAATGAATAATTTAATACTCTTAAAAAAAAAGAAGAGACTATTAAATTTGTTATTAAAAATAAATCAATTGAAAATTATTCAATTAAAAAATAAGTGCTCTAAAAAGAAAAAGAAAATATGGATTAGAACATGTATCCTTGGACGAGAAACAAAAAGAGAAGCTTCAACAATAGTGCAAGAAATGCGTTTTCAAGACTTGGAGTGGTATTATAATTATACACGAATGATGCCTGAATCTTTCGATGAATTGCTTAATTTAGTTGAACCAATAATACGAAAACAAGAAACAAATTTTCGAAAACCAATATCATCTACTATTCGGCTGTTAATAACATTACGGTAAGTTGATCTTACATATTTTATTTATTTTATCCTGAAATATATATTTATTTGTTTACTTTTATATAATGTCAGTATATACATATATTTACAGATACTTAGCATCTGGTGATTTGATGTCATCACTCGCGATGTCATATTGTTTAGGTAAAAGTACCGTTTCTGGTATCATTCAAGATACATGTCAAGCTATTTGGGAGGTTTTACAACATCGTGTTCTATTTCAACCCTCTCAACAAGGATGGAAGAAGATAGTAGATGGTTTTTTTAGACGATGGAACTTCCCACATTGTATAGGAGCTATCGATGGGAAACATGTTGTAATACAAGTATGACATATTATTAATTTTGCATAATTTTATCTATATCAATATATACTACCTATTTGTAGAATAAAAAAAGTGTGAATTCGTCCTAACATTTTTTACAGGCACCACCACATGCAGGATCGACATTCTATAACTATAAAGGACAACACAGCATTGTACTTATAGCGGTAGTATCAGCATCTTATGAGTTTTTGATGGTTGATATTGGCGCCCAAGGGAGACATAATGACGGTGGAATTTTTAAAGGCTCCATTATGGGACAGCGATTTGAAAATAAACAAATGGAATTACCACCTCCATGTCCATTGTCAAATTGCAGTATATCTGTTCCCTACATGCTTGTAGCTGATGCTGCATTTCAGCTTAATGAGTATACTTTAAGACCATATCCCGGTAATCGATTGAATAAAACTAGAGAAATATTCAATTATAGATTAAGTCGAGCCAGACGTGTCGTAGAAAATGCGTTTGGCATTATGACTAGTAAGTGGAGGATTTTCAGAAAACCGATTAATGCATCGTTAACAACAACCGAAAACATAGTTAAAGCAACCGTCTGTCTCCATAATTTTTTATTATCAACATCACATTATGCAAATATTAATGATATGTATGAAAATGCAGAAGAAAATGCAGCTGCCATTGAAAATATTCGTTCAGTGGGAAGCAATACACACTCACGATTAGCAGCAGAGTTTAGAGATACATTCGCTCAATATTTTGTAGAAGAAGGCTCTGTACCTTGGCAAGATATGCGTTAAATGCAGCAATTCAATATATTATATTTAAAGAATCACAATAGTTACAAAAAAAATACGACAAAATTCAAATATTTTCAAATATTATATTTTTTTCCTTTTTATTACATTTTCAAATATTTTCTATTTTTTTCCATTTTCTTATTTTGAAACATTTTCTCGTAAATAAGTTTAACTTTATTGTACTCTATCAATACTCTAACAATTATTGCAGTATGTATCGATATAATTTAACTGTAGAAATAAAAAATATAAAACAATAATAAAAAAAAATTATAAGAACATTATGTATTTAATAAAAATAAATTATGTAAAATAATATAAAAAAAAAGAGAAAAACACCCAGAATGTATATCTCAACAGAAGTAATTATTTTAATATTTTAAAAATATTTTTTTTTAGAAAAAAGGTATAAAAAATATATATATATTGTATATATAGGAAATAAATAAAAATGTTTTTCTGTAATAAATATTTATTGTAATATTATATTTTTTTAGGTAATATTTTTTATATAATAAACTATTATATAGAATTTATAATATAAAATTTATGTATGAATTGTTAACTTTATTTTAAAAAAAAACTATTTTTAACAAACTTCATTTTTTATGAAAAAAAAAACTATTTTTAACAAACTTAATTGTTAATGAAAAAGAAAAAACTGTAAACATAGATAATATGCACATATTTAGTAAATATTCTATGTTATTACTCAACGTAAAATAATTGTATGTTTGACTCTTAAAACTCTTGTAATTATAAAATTATGAAAATAAATATTTTTGCGAACTTTGCACATTATAAACTTAAACATTTGGTTTTTGATTTTATATAATCAATTTATAGATATTTCTCAATTATCTTGAATTTCAAATACAAATGACAATATTTTCCTTTGACATTTCGTAAAGTCATCCTGAGATAATGTACGAAGCTGAGTTGTTAAATAGTTACAAAAAGCCATCACTGGATCAGATGTATCATTTATAGATTTATCTGTCGCTTTTATTTCTGACATTATAGATTGTTGAAATAATGATAACTCATCATTCTCTTTGTTAGTATTCATACGTCGCTTCTTTCCTGCTTATAGATGTTTTAACACATGCACACATAAATATGTCATTGGGATATATACAAAATAGGAGGGATTACACTCATACCTGACATTTTAAGATTTTTTATAGCTGTATTCTTACAGCTGCTATTTGGTATATTTTTTGATATTTCAGTCTCTTCTATCTTTATCATCGAATTTACATTTTGTTGTGTTGGTGAATAATCTGCTCTAAATTTACGTTGGTTACAATAATCAACGTTTCCTTGCAAAGAACTGTCTGAAGCTCCTGTATCACTTAAATTTGGACTTGATGTTATACAGTGACCGGCAAAAATAAAAAGCCACTTTCCTAGTTATACTGTTTTGCTTAATGAAAGAGTAAAAATATTAAAACGATGAGATTTTCATTGATGAAAGAAGAAGTATTTATTATTTATTTTAAAATTTTATGTTACAATTACATAAATTATTTTTTACTTTTCAGTTTTATTTATATTTCTTAAATATTGCTGTTTATTATATTGACAAAATAAAAAAGCCATTCAGATTTGTTCGATTTAATATATACAATATTTTGTTTGGTTGTCATGTCAACATGTTCGTGTTATTGCGCTCACTTCTCGTTGTTGTTAATCATTTTTGCAACATTGGCTTATCTCGATTATTACAAAAAATTCGCGGTCAAAAATGGGAGGAAGATCAATTTCCACACAAGTTCGAAACTTAATTGTGCGAGATATTCAAAAAGGTCTTTCCCAACGGAATATAGCCAAAAATTATGAAGTAAGTAGAGGAGCAGTAGAACAGATCAGAAGAAAATTTCAATCAACTGGATCGGTGGCAGATAGAATCGGAAGAGGTCGAAAACGAGCAACATCCAAGCGGGAGGATATGAAAATAATCCGTGAAGTTAAGAAAAATCCAAAGATTACTGTTAGAGAAATTCAAGAAAACATTTATCTTACTGTTTCTGACCGCACTGTACGTCGAAGACTCAATGAAGCAAATTTACACAGCCGGTTTGCACGTAAACGACCTTTCTTTAGCGTCACCAATAAGAAAAAACGTTTGCAATTTGCTCGGAAGTATGCAAATATGTCATTGGACTTCTGGAAAAATATTTTATGGACAGATGAAAGCAAATTCGAGTTATTTGGACAAAAGAAGCGGATTAGAGTCTGGAGAAAACACGGCGAAGAGCTTCAAGATCGTCATTCAGAAAACTGTAAAGTATGGCGGAGGAAATATTTTAGTCTGGGGATGTTTCTCATGGGCAGGAGTGGGAAATCTTGTCAAAATTAACGGAATTATGACAGCAGATGTCTACATTGATATAATAAATGAAAATTTGGAGGAGTGTTTGTTGAAACTCGGACTAGAAGATAATTTTATTTTCCAACAAGATAATGACCCGAAACACACAGCAAAGAAAAGTCAAGCTTTTTTTCGTTCCTGCCGAATTAAACAACTTGAATGGCCTCCGCAATCTCCAGATTTGAACCCTATCGAAAATCTGTGGGCAATTTTGGATAATAGGATTAATAAAAGCGGAGTAACTAACAAGAATTCTTATTTTGAAGCATTACAACTAGCCTGGGAGAATTTGGATCCACAACATTTAAAAAATTTAATTGAAAGTATACCAAAAAGACTGCAAAAAGTAATTGAGGCTAAAGGAAATCATATTAATTATTAATTAAAATAATATTGTTGTTTTTTTAAATCGTAATACTATGTTACCTTAACTGGCTTTTTTATTTTGTCACTCTTAAATAAATGATTATATAGAAATAAATACAGTATTAAATAAAAAATGATTTCTTTTTAATTAAAAACATTAAATTACTTAATAAATTTTCAGTTTTAGTTATAAAAAACTTTATAATAAATTTTTTTTACCTTTTAGCATCAAATCAGTTTTATAGTTAAGGTGGCTTTTTATTTTTGCCGGTCACTGTATATCGGTTTCCTGAGAATGTACAACTTTTATTACTGTTGCTTCTGGAAGCTGTTAAACTCGTATTACTATTTAGCTTTTCTAATTGTTGCTCTATGTAACGTTTATCACTATTAGTACTGAAAGATGCAGGTGGGCTTATGTTACTAAATGTCCTAGAAATTAATTAATATAAACATATTTACTTAAAGATTATGATATCATATAATGACTATGATATTATTTACGTACTTTCTACGCATTACTGTTGGTCTTAAAAATCCTAACAGTTCAAAATATGGCCATGATACTTTAGGCTTAGCTTCAGCAGCGCTTCCACTTGGAATGTACTTTTTCTGTTCACTTAATTTTCTGACGTAAGTATCTCGTAAATTACGCCATTTAACATTCGCAGTACCTGGACGTAAATCTTAAAAAGACATTTATAACAATTTTAAAATATAAAAATATATTCTTTTTCTTCTTTAAAAATTGAACAACTTACTTAGTTTTTTATCAATCGCTGACCATAACAATTTTGTTCTGGATGGACCTCGTTTTTCATAAGGTAAAGTACTGTCCCACAATGGTGTTCGCTTAAAGACTTCATTAATTAATTCTTCCACATTTTGGACTTCGGTCAAAGTTGTTTCAATTGGTGACGATACCAAATTTGAATCATCATTGTTTGTATCCGGCAATTCACACTCATGATCGTCATCAATTGAATATTCACCACAATCTACGCAAAGTTTGAACTAAAACAAAGAAACAAATTAAATGTTACGTAAACTAATCCATTAAATAATATAGATGCAAAATGACAAAATAAACATAACCTAGATTTAAATATATTATTTTATATTAAACTTTATTAATTACCATATCGTCCTCCATTATGTAATCAAAATTACGCTTTCTGCAAGATAATGACGAACGGCGATAAATATTATTACTTTCTTTCATAATAAGTATTAATAAACGTTTTACGTCGAGTGAATGTCTCTTCTTTTAAGCTATATATTATCCATCTCTTTTGTGACTAGACAATCGTATGACGTGCTTCTTTGTGCCTGTCGTACGAAAAAGTTAAATCTTGACAAAGTTTATCGTACGACGAACAGTATCGTACGACAAAATATCACTAAATAGAGTTTCTAGAAATCTCATTCTCTTATTGGATATCGGATGTCGTGCGTCGGACATCGGAGGCAGTGTGAATCCTCCATAACTCTTTCGGAATAAGCCGAACACCCCCGAGCGTTGCCGACGTGTTCCGATCCGGCGACCGGCGAAAACCCGCGCTCGGCGCGCACCCCGAACCTCTCCGAGCGGGCCCCCGACCGTACCGCTTTCCGTAACCCGTTCGGAAGGGGTAATACCGCCGTGCGCCAACGCGGGCAATTAAACCGGTATAAAACGAACACGTTCGGCACATTAATTACCTTTTCCGATCCGCTTACGATAAGTGTAGCAGCTCCGAAACCTAGACCACTCCAGATAATTAAAACCTAGATTTGAGGAAAAGAGGTAGAGCGAACTCTTCCTCTATCGAGTACTCTCGATCCTCGATCAGGCTCAATTCATCTGAGCAACATTCCGATCAGGGAAAGAAATCAGAGTGCACTCTCCGTAGAGAGTTCTCGACCACCGGTCTACGATCCGACCACCTAACGCTTGTGCATCATATCTCGAGGCAGAGAGGAGAGCTACCTCGGACGAGTTATTCTCGTCGGCACAGCGTTCCTACGGAATTTCCTACCACCGGGAATTACCGATATAATTCGGTGAAAGATATCCGCATTTCGCGAAAACACCCAGCACACATCGACAAAAAGCCGGCTAGACCTATCTTCCAGACACGTGCACATAAAAACCGCATGCGCTACGTCAACCGGTCATTGACCGCGCCGGAATCATAACGCGCGCCGTAAATAAGCGTTTAAAGCTATTGATAGTAGCACTGAATTATAACTGCAATACACGATTATAGAAAACACTGTATGATCTTTGTTAATTACGATACCTTTATACAACACACTCACGTCATGCATTCGTGCCTCAATATTTGCATATCACGTCGAACATTTAATTCGCGTCTCGCGCCGAATATCGCGCTCGAACAAATCACATTCACAATATGCGCGCGCGCGCCCACACACACACACACACACACACACACACACACATTGTATTACATACATCCAATAAACACTTTTTTTTGTTATTTTACACTCGCTCATTTCAAAACCTACTGAACCCGGATTTCTGATTCCCGCTATCCGACGACGAATATCGCGGAAATCACCCGTGACACATTTTAATCCGTGATGATTTCTAATCATCCATGAGACGTCGGTCAGATTTTGTAAGCACGCTCCACGGTACAGGACTTGCGAAAAAGTAATGCGAGAGAATATATCCTTTCTCAGAACTGCTGCTTCCTTCATAAAGAATAATTTATTGATGGTAAATTCTTGCAGATCCACAAACGTTAGTACATGACGAGATCTCTCTCTCTCTCTCTTTTCGATACGTCAGTCGAGCGGAATAACGAAACTCTAAAACCATCGTAACTTGGATTTATATCCTGCTCCTCTTCCTTCCCTTGTGACGATGTTGTTGCGAACACTTAGGTGATTTTGCGTACAACGTTGGTCAACGGATTGTATTGGATAACGCGATCGTGTATGATGAGACAGTACGCAGTGGTATTCATCGATACGTTCTCCTTACACTTAAATTCCAATCTCACATCCACGGTTGCACTCTTGACTGATTCGTTTTGTCGAGAACAATCGATAATCATGAACGGACCGTTATCTAGAAACGTCGTGACGATGAGACTCAACTCGAGATACTCGCTACTAATAGTTCTTGCAGAAGCGCGTGTACGTGTCGTACAGAATGGACCATCTGTTTTTATCGAAATCCAGATTCATATCGTCGTACGGATAACATTCCGAGTTCAGATAGTTTCACGTTGATCAATTTGCAGTCATCGAATCGACTTACATCTTCAGACATGACATTCTTCCGACCTGTCTGCAGAGCGAAGATGTATCGTGGTTTCTCCAGCCTAATCGCGATCTTAATGGCCCACGAATGCTTGGTTGTACGCTGCAATAGCGGAAACTCGTACAGATCCCATGAGCGAAAACTCATGCTAAGTCCGCTTTCCAGAACACGCAGCATCGACAGCTTTTTGATTTCGTTCAACAGCACGTGTGGCATTCGCCATTGTATCTTGACTATGTTTATCACAAGCTGTAGAGTCGAATTTCCAAATAGACAATTGTTGTCGTTGCGCGATCGTATTAAGATTAATTCGTGACGATTGTTAATTACCACGCGTCTGTAATCCTCGCAAAATCCCAATAACATGTAGAGCGGTACGCAAAAATTGAAGTGTCCATTCGCATTGGTCAGCACATCCTAGCCGACGTTCCTCATAATAACGTTTCTATGACTACGTTTCCACCGAGGGTTAGAATCGGGTTAGAGTCGAGTCAGTGTAGAGTTGGAGTGAACATTCTTACAGTGAAAACACTACTCTACCCAATAAAATTTTAAGGTAGGGTTCAAAAGAGATTCGGTGGAAACAATAAGAGTCGAGTGTGGGTCATTGTAGTGTTGCCAACAAAATAAATTCAAATTGCACCCATAATTCATAAGACGAGTATATACTGTGACGTGACGCTTTTTAAGCTCCGTCACGATTTCCCTGCCGAGGGACAACAGCGTGCGCGAGGTCGTCTCTCGCGCCTGAGAGGAGACTACCGTTACTTATTATTCAATTGTTTAGACTTATTTTTTAGCGAAATTTAAGACCCGCGATTCGAATACGGTTACTGTGCGTGCGTGCAAGATCGACAATTTGTAAAGGAAGCTACCGCAAGATACCGAGGACACCGCAAGAATAAGGTCAAATAATACGGTCCCGCGCCGCCGCTCTTAATAATGTAATTGGAGATTAAATCTGCATTATTTCAGATTGAAAAATAAACGGCAGCGAATCCAAACGACGGTGCTGAAAGCAACTTTCCAGGCGGCCGACTGGAAAACAGAAATCTCGCAAGGAGACGCGGATACGGCCTGGCCAGCCGGTCACGTCCCCGAGAATCGGCATCATCCCGAATTACCGTCGCTTATGAATACTGGGCCCCTGCGTAAGGGCAACGTCGTACAACATCAGCAACTTTCGAGGGGGCGGAGAATCAACCCCATTTTTCTCGAAATTGACGAAATGCGCGGAAGATCGGCGCGGGATTCGAGAGCCTTGCGAGCACAGACGAAAATCGTCACTGTACGGTGAGCTAGTGTCCTGTGCACATCAGCAGAACCTTGGAAGAGACGACCCTGAGGGAGCCGCCACCTACAATAATTGTAAGCCGTCGCACAGGTAGCCGATTAGTAATTTTCCTCCGGGATCAGCTGGTGTCATCGTGCCGAGATACCGTCGCAGGGCCGCTATCATACCGTAAAGATTACCGTAAAGTCTGATACTTGTACCATAATTGTCGGGCGCCAGCTGTCCCCGGGGTCGCGGATTTGTCCCTCTCAGGGGGTTCGTGCCGACAGTCCGTATTATTGTGTATCGTTTCCGTACCGTTTAAAATTGTATTACTCCTGTTAACATTGTTTTGTATCGATACTCCGAGCGTGACGCAGCAATTTTTGGTCGAGTATATCGCATACCGGAAGGCGGGATTTGAGCGGGTAATTTCTTCGCGAGCGTGTGTTACCGAAATTAAGAAAACGGCCCGGCAAGAATATTACCCTACGCGAAATCTCCGCCGAAAAGTATTCCCGTATCACTTGTTTGAAATTTCCGTTACGCGAACGTCGAGCTATTGTTACCGAAACAAAAGGTCGTGCTACGACCGTTACATCGGATAAACAGTTTCCGTCTACACCTCCTTGAAAATACCGTTGAATAAAGCTTTTGTTTTTCATCAAAACCTTGTCGAAATTCATTGCTAATTACCGTAAGAAAAGGTTCGATTCGAGTTATATCGAACTTATATAAAATACGTATACCGTCTATTTTGGATTAGAATTCTGTTCATTTCTTAGTTGTCTATTGTTCTCTACCGTTAATTATTCTTGGTCGTAAACGTTACCGTCAAAATTGTATGAAATTTAGGTTCGATTTATATCGATATTTAGCACGAGACTCACGCCTCCAGGAATGTAAACCATCCGCGTATAATAGTCTGATCGTAAAACTCCTGTACTAGCTGGTTACCGTTAATTACGTTGATTACCGCCATAAAATTAATTGTTAATTATACCGAAATTTGTCAGCGAGACGAACGCCTCAACGTGCGTTCTGAAAATCGGACGAAATTCGTTCTCAAGTTTTGTCAGATATTTCGCCGCTAATGTTCACTGCTTTCTGTTACCGTAATTATTGAGAGACTAAAGCTATTTCCATACCGTTTTTTTTCCTTTTTTTTTATTGCCGACTCAGAGTCAATATTTCAAGTAGCATCTCTGAGATTATTGTATCTGACCTTCGCATCAGCCGTTATAACGTGTCCTTTGTTTCCCGCAATTCATAAAATAACCGTTATCTTTCGAAATTTATCTGCTTTCTTTTATTATTGTATTTTGTGGTTTGCTTTCTTGTATATTTACCGATATATTTACCGATTTTATCTCTATTATATTAAATTCATTCATATTATATTAAATTCGATTATACTGTTAATTGTGTGTGTATTTTAACTTTACAATATATGTAATTATTTGTGAACAAAATAACTGAGTATTAGTCATTTCTCTCTCCTAAAGATAATCTAGCGCTCTCTCTCCCCCTTACAGTAAATAATTCACAAAGAACCCTGCCCCTCTGCCATGTACTGAGCTTACCGCTACCGTTTCGATATCGTGGC